TTATTGATTTTATAATTCATTTCCAAAGCCCAGGAGACAGCTATCAGAATATTATTTTTACAAAACAAGAAGTTTTTCCCATTTTTTCCATTCCTTTTCAAACTTCTCTCTATGAGTTTCCCCTTTGCTATTTGCTATAAATCTTTGTATATTATGGTAGTCTTTTATTGTGTTAACCAATGCATTTATATTTAAGGAGCTATGAAGACAACGCATTTTATATACATATTGTTTAATCATAATGAGTATCTCATTATCAATTCTACCATTCACATTTTGTGTAAGAAATCCAAATAAATAAGAATTTTTATTGAAATCAAAAGGAATGATGAGTGCATCCAAAAGAGTTTCAAAACTAATAAGAAGATTCTGAGTCTCTTGACATTCCCATAAAATATGGGTAATAGTTTCAATCTCAGAATTGCAAAGTGTACACATAGGAGATACAACTATTCGAGTTTTAAAAAGGAAAGAATTTGTTGTCAGAATATGGTGATTTATTCTATACTGAAACCACTGAAATTTTGTATTAGCAGTTATAGCAAAGGGAAGCTTAAACATCTGATGCCAAGAAAAGTTACTAAAATCAAAGACTCTATTCCATTTCTTCTGTCCTGATGGAACGATGTTATTTTTTACCAAGATACTATAAAAATGTTTGGAACCTTTAGACTTTTTAAAGAATGGTTCTAAGTGTACAGGAATAAAAGGACATAATAATCTTAATTTAGGAAAATCTGGATTAGAGTTGAAATGTTTAACTGCAGAAAGAACACTGTGATATAGGAGAAAATTAGTCTCTATTTGATAAGTTTGAGTGAATTCTTGAACTGTATAAAAGGAACCAGAATTATAGTCTTTAATCAGGTCCTTTATATCAATAACTCCTTTTTTATACCAATCCTTAATGCAAATTGACCTTCTATCAATAATAATTTTGTCATTAAACCATAAGGGGGTCTTCAATTATACCTCATTTTTTACAAGCTTTCAAAACATCAGTCCAGAACTTGTTTTTACATTTTTTTCACATAGCTTTATATAATCTGAACCTCAATTTGCCATATGTTTTTAAAATTGCTTGCCATTTAGATGTACATTGAAATAATCTTCTAATCCAACCTAATTTGAGTGAGTCTATAAAAGTTTTGATGTTGATCATGTTTAACCCACCATTAATGAAGTCTTGAATAACAACTCCTCTTTTTACTTTATCCACTTTACTGTTCCATAAGAACTCATAAAGTATAGAATTCAGTTTACAAAGAAACTTTCCCTCTGGATTTGGCAGCGAGATAAATAAATGATTAAATTGTGAAACCAAAATTTATTTTATTATGTTTATTTTACCAATTGGTGTTAATATTCTCCTTTTCCATGATCTGATAAGTGATTTAAGTTTTGTTAGTTTTTTACGTGAAATTCAATGCCAAGAAGTGTGAAGTTTTCCCTACCCCATTGTAAGTCAAGTTCTGGAAGGAATTTATCTGAGCTAAAAACATTATTGCCAATCCAAACCACTTGAGGTTTTGAAATATTCATTTTTAATCCTGATATACTTGCATAGAAATTAAGTTCAGTAATAGCTTCCTGCAGTGATCTTTCTGTACCATCAAGTGCAAGTGCAGTGTCATCCGCATATTGTGATAGAAGTATAGGACAGTTATTAACATCAATACCCTTAATTTTATTATTGTTTCTTAGTTTTATAGCTTAAATTTCAGCACACAGAATAAATATATATGGAGCAATCGGGTCCCCTTGACAACAGCCCTATTGTGATTTATAATCACGGGTCATTGTTGTGGTTATAGTAAAACATTGGTTCATCCTCGATTCTCCAGGGGTTATGCAAAATTACGCTATCCGACCCCTGGATTATGTCATAACGAAATTGAAGGCGCTTACATATAACTCGCCACCTTGTGCCTTTGATGAACGTCAAAAGAATCTCGCTATCGCAAAACGGTAACATTGACCGGTTTTGAAGTCGAGTTTCTGTCCTCTGTAATCTTTAAAGGACAGGTAACAGCCTAGCAACTGGTCGTTTTTTTTTTTTACCTGAGGCCAATTACATAGCTAGCCGCGCGTGCCTTCAATTTTGCTTTGACATATTCTAGGGATGCAGAGAACAAAAGTGAGAGTAACCCCTGGAGTATCGAAGATGACCTTGGTTAAATAAAAGACAACGTTCAGTGAATCCGTGACAAAACTGTTTAAGATACCGGAAAAAATTATGTATAGTTTACCGGGTATTGTATAAATACTAACCAACAGGAGCGTTTTTCTATACCAGAAAATTAAATTTAAAGATTGTATTTTTGTCAACTGTTCTGTAAAAATATCAACCTGGAAAACGTTATCGATCCACTGGGAGGTGACATACTGCAATTATCACATTCCTTATTTGTTCAGAAACGCTGCAAAATTTGACTTAAGTAGTAGGTATGCACGAGTTACCTCCCTCTTAAAACTATTTCTAGCTGTAATTAGCATATATCATATTACGTACAGTTATCTTAAAGGAACTCTGCCAAGTTTAATGTTAATATAAAAAGATACAATATGTCTTCCTTTTGCTATGCTGTTCTTTTTATATTTCAATTCTTCATTTTGTTGTCGTTATTATTTTGCATTTCAGTGTTTTCATTGTGAGGTGAAGCTATGGTACGAACAAAAGCTTTCAAAGATGAGTGCACGGCTTCTTTGTGATACTGTATTTCTGTAATATTTCATCAACATTTGTTTTATAGGTAATCGGACTTAATTTTCAAGTAAAACAGTAGATTTCTTCAGCACGAGGAAAATCGGGCCAATATAGTTGGGTCATATTCACTAGGAAGTTTAGCCTTCCAGGTATCCCAAACGGAACACCTCATCAAATAAGTCAGATTATAAAAGATAACTGACAGGTTTCTCCTCATTTCAAGAAAGTTTTGGTACTTTTTGATAGATTCCAGGTATTTATTCTTTAGAATATTCTTTTGAGCAATATGTTTTCATTTTTAGAAATTTATAAATTTACATTGTAACATTTTCAGGAAATTATTCTATTTTACTATTCATTTTCTATTTTCTATTCAGACTTTAAATACGACAAAGAAGATTACACTTTATTGACAAAAGCGATACTATAATGAAATTTCCAAAAATGAAAGGGAGGTTCGAGCTTGACATTGAGAGAGAGTTAAAATGGTGAAAACCATTAGATAATATAGCGTTATATACATTGTCACAAAAAGATAAAATAAGTTAAAGGAATGGCATGATGGACATACCTAAGAGCAGCAGATTTTAAATAAAAAGTGTAAATCCTTTGGAATATTAAAGAAATGCTGTCCTCTTCAGCAGTAATGTGTTGGAAATTAACAGAATGTAATGAACAATGTCAAACGTACTCAAGCTGTACATATGTTTTGCACTGCTGATCTTCATCTGACAAACCGGTATGGATGCTAACTAAGTTATTGATTTCTTTTCCGATTTCTTCCCATTGTATTTTTTAATAATCTTTTCCATTGTGTTGAAACGTTTTTTGGTAAGATTTACAAGCGTTTTCTGTACTTTTGTTTTTGTGATTTGCAAACATATTCCTTTCCTTTCAGATGCCGCATTTTTTCCATTGCTAAGGAACTGTATAAGAATACATTGTAGTGTTTGTATTTTACCCCCCGATTATTTCAGGATGGTATGTGTCTGGATAACGCACGTCTTCCTTTGTTAAATAGTTTTGTGTATAGTCTTGTTATGTTAGGAACCTTTAGAGCAGGATATCGTATCGCGGTTTAACTGTAAATATACCCGAGTAAAAACCATAACCGCAAACTTCATACAACAAAGGCGACAATTATTCAAGATTTGACATTTGTCCCTGAGCTCTCTGTCATTATAACTTTGGAACGAAATGTCTGTCTGCTGTTTCATCAATGTAGTTCATCTGCATATGACCAATGCAAAGCAGCTAGTGTTTAGATTATCAAATACCTACTTAAAAGCCGGTCAAGGTTATCGTTACGCTGTCATGTGATAAATTTTTGTTATCTTTACAAGCTCCAACGACAAATCAACGTGTTTACCTGTGTGTTGTCGTTTACAGTGGCTACCGTTACTGACCTTGTGCATAAACAATAGTGTACGTTGTGGAGGGCGAACTCTGTATCAACATACCACCCGACCGCTTCCTGATGGAACAGGTGTACGATACTATCGTCGTAGGGGCTGGAATAGAGGGATGCTCCACGGCCTATCATTTAGCCAAACATGGAAAGCGTACGCTACTTATTGAGCAGGTAAGTAAGATATCGTTTTAACATACGAGAAATACAGAATTCGTTTATCGATAACGTCATCTAATTTATCTTATCATCCTACCTTCCTTTTTCGCTGTATCTTTCGCTGTAATATACATCGTTGTAAGCTTTTTAGCTTTTGGAGATGTCTTGATTATATTTCATTTACTTATTCTCGAGCATGTCAGCCAGTTGTTGTTTTAAACATATATGTGGAAGCACGGATAACGTGCCTTGATAGGAGATAGTATGTATGAAATACATATATATATTAACCACATTGTGTTGTATACACACACATGCATGTATATGTAAATCTTAAATAGAGCACTTGTACATGTATGCTGTGTCCGTCCTGTCTACACGATATTATAGATTAGACACGACTGCACACAAATAAATAGGTTCATATGATCTGCCTATGTTTTTTGTCCATATGATTATTTGCTCTATAATAGATTATGTCGGTATTGGTTCAATTGAAACCAATTGAGTATGATTTACGTTGTATTAATGTCATGATAATAAATAACAATCTACAACATGTGTAAAGCCCCCTATACACATTGTAAAATTACTTTTAGGCGCTTTACAACACATAAACAATGGTATCCCTATCATGAGTTATTAATATAGTAAATAAAACAGGCATACAATATGTCGCTGCATATTAAAGTTTTTATGCCACTGGATGATGTTTGCATTTATCGCGGAGTACCCGGGGCTGTTCAAGGTACATACCTAACTGATCATAATACATTATGTAACCTGTTACTGCGCGACATCGTGTGAGCGATGTAAGGTCATTCATCATAATCCCAACCGACGCGTAAGAATGCTACAGAATCTTCGCTCGAGGTGGAAATATCCTGATAGCAGTGTCTGAAAAGTATTGTTTACTTTGTGAAAGTAACAGTTAAATTTAATGTCATATGTTTGTATTAGAAATAAAAAACGGCAGTTGGAGAGCGTTTTTTTTGAAAATTTGAAATACATAAGTATTATGCCCCCATTTCACTTGCGTTGCGTCAGTGTCAATCAGGGTCGGTCAGTAAATGTTGGGCTGTCGCAAAACTGTTCGAGCATTTTCGAACATTTTCGAACACAAATGGCACATCTACGATTCATATCGGTCAGAGTTACGTCAGTATTCGGTCAAAATGGGCCGATGTCGGTCGGTGTGCGGCAATAGCTGCGTTGGTGGTGCGATGATGAGTGTCAGAGTTGCGATGCACTTGGATGCACATAGGACAGAAATACGTCGATGTGGGTTAGTGTGCGACGCAGTTGCGTCGATGTTACGCCATGGAGGGTCACAGAGTGTCAGACATGTTGATGGCTGCGATCTTCGTTGATTTAAAATAGTGTGATTTCAGGCCTAGGGTGGTCCAATCTAGTCCAGTCCAGGGACAGTATGAATGAGCAAGTACTAGGACTTTTCCAGGCTGATCTGATTGTTCAGCATCATGCCTACGTTCGTGCCCAGGCCGAGGTCCTGCAGGAAAGAAGGAGGCAAAGGTCCCGAAGAAGATATAGCAAGAAGCGGTTCTGGGTGAGGACCTGGTTAACAGAAGATGAGCGAGTCTCAGCCGGCCAGTACAACAACCTTATGGTCAAGCTCCGGAACGAGGATGTACAGTCGTTTACTAACTACCTGCGCATGCCTCCAGACATGTTCCAATTCCTGCTCAACCGGCTGACGCCTCGCCTCCAGAAGAAGGACACCAAGTTCAGACGACCTCTGGAACCAGGGCTGAAGTTGGCTGTGGTACTCCGGCACCTGGCTACTGGGGACAACTACCCAAGTTTGCAGTACAGCTTCAGAGTGTCCAGACACACCATCGCCAGCTTTCTGCCAGATGTCTGTCAGGCCATCATCGATGAATTTGCAGAAGAGGAGGTCCAGTGCCCCGTCACCCCCGATGAATGGAAAGAGGTGGCCCTGCAGTTCCAGAGGAGGACCAAACTTGGACCTAGTGCTCCTGTACCATTGTTTGAGATGGCTGCCCGTCAACCCCATCTTCTGGCCCTGCTCTTCCCACAAGAGGTCCTTCTCAGGTGTCTTCCTGTAGCTTTCATGGCGCGTGTTCCAGACTTGTGGGAACTCTCGGAGCCAGTCACAGACGGCTTGCTCTTGTTCGGGAGTGAGCACCACCTCTTCGGTCTTCTTTTTCTTCTGGGCTGGAACCTCCGTGTCATCTTCTGAAGAAGTTGCACCATTAAAACACTCGTCCTCCTTCTCAGCACCAACGTCTGCCTCCTCCATGGCCTCGGCTACAATATCTTTATTGCCACGTCCACACCCTCTGCTCCCTCCACCACGACCACGACCTCTTGGATGCTTCCCTTGCCCAATGATGGTTATCACCTGGCCCACACATTCAACAACTGGCTGGACCTCTACCTGGTGCTCGTCGTCTCCTGTTGGAGTGTCTCCGGGCTGCATCACGGCTTTGCCCTTCGTCTTCTTTATTGCCTGTCTTAACGTTTTTCTTGATTTCTTTGGTGGCATGATGCGTTGGAAAACAAATGTATCACTAGCCAATCGTATGTGGCGCACCCGTATTTATAGCAACCGACATTGACCAAACTACAACCCAAGCTGACCGAATATTGACGTAACACTGGCGCAGGCTGACGCAGCATGACCGAATGGCGACCCATGTCTAACCCCGCCAGGCAGTGCATGACGGTCCCTGACATTGTTTGCTGACTGAATGTGACCGAATGTCGACTCAGAGCAACCGACTGTGACGTAACACCAACGCAGAGAAACGCACTGTTGACCGAGTCTGATAAAACACTCGGACAGGCAGGGTTTCTCAGGGTTTGTGTTAGGTCGATGGGGGTTGCTATTCGGTTAGACTTACGTCACCTTGCGGTGAAGTTCGGTTGATGAGGGTTAGTACTCGGTCAAAATGCTATCTTGGCCTGTCGCAGCCGATTTTTATGCATGCTCAAAATTTGCCGGGGTCAGAAAATGTTCTCTCGGTCACTCTGCGTCAGTTGGGGTTTCTCGACGTCACCCTTCGGCCAGTGCTTGGTTGATATTCGGTCAATCTACGTTCCTGTCGGATGCTGTCGGATGGTGGCTAACCGACACCGACGCCGCCTGTCGTAGCCTAGTGAAATGGGGGCATAAAAGCAAGTTTGGAATTCACAGTGTGTTCAGTATAAAAACATACTATTGGTCAACAAACGTCCAGTATCAGGGGACTGTGTTCATTTCTAATAATATCGATGGATAACTAAGCTGATAACACTGTAATGCTAAGAACTATTACCATAGTTGTAATAAAATAAGTGTTTACATAGTATGTCCATGTACAATGTAGTTGTGACAATTACGAGCGTTCGCGTTACATTTGATATTATATGTTTGATAGTAAAGGAAAATGGCCATTTGAGAGAGTCTTTCTGAAAGGTCAAAATACATAAGTATGCCATCTTTTTCGTTTGAATGACCTCGAAGAAACATTGTGTGACGCTGATTGTATTCGTATCCTTAGTTCTGTTGCCACGTCGGCGTTGAAGCTGATCCCGACAGACGAGATGACGTGGACTCATCTTGGGTCCTGGAGAAGACGAAAGCATGTGTAGAGAAGAATTTCCCTCTGTTAGAGCCGAGTCCTGCTATTACAGAATATTGTATGTATACGGTACGTACATGTCATGCGCACTTACCAATTTACCTCCTCCTAGTGACAGAGATGAGGATAGAAACCTGAGAAATACTCATCTAGTTGGTAAGCAATAAATTATGTGTTGAAGCCAACAGAACGTAAATCTAACGTTATAAATAACTAATCTGGATAGGTGCCTTTCCCTTTTTGACAAAAAGTAAGCGTCGGAAAAACGTTGTTGCCACTAATTTGTTTACGTCTTTGGTTTTATTGTATATACTGCTATTTTAATAGATGCTTCCTTACACCGTTTTTATCGAGTAATAGTTCTCTATAGTATAAAAAAAAAAACCGGATATCCATAGCCGTGTACCCTCCTCCCCAAGAGGATAGGGCCAGAGCCCTATGTTGTAATCGACCCTCTAGTTTCCACTTCTTAGTGAGCGAAACAGATTCTTCTCCCTTATACTTAAACGCTTACTGGTTGGGAGATAACAATCCACGATACATTCAATTATATAATTTGTTGTTTTAAGCATCGGCACACTTTGCTATGTATACATGGTTTCATTTAGTACAATGTTGTTTTCTTGCTGTAGGCGAACACATGTACTCTACATGATGTTCACAGGCCTAACATATATTTCTATGAGTTATGTTAAATTGATTTCAGTGTATAGTATAGTGTTTACAAAATTCGAAGTTAATAATTATGAATTTAGAATTTAAATTCGGTAAACAGTCTCTCCTGATCATATCGTGACTTGACGCTACGTCAATTTGAAAGTTAATTTCGAACATATAGCACGTGACTAATCCCCTGCTCTGATTAATGTCCGGTCCACAGGTGACGCCAGACCACGGATACGTGCTTGATAGACACCCCGCATGGAACAATGTCGTCATCGGTGCTGGATTCTCTGGTAAGTAGCTCTATCTCAAAATAATAGTAGACTTGTAGAGGCCTTAAGGAAATCTGCTTCTAAGAAACCTGTAATTGAGCCTTGTTGAAACTGGAGTTAACGTGTTCTTCTGTTTAATCAGTAGTTAAGGCCGAATTTGAAATGTCTAACATTTTGGCCCCAAGCATCACCAATAGGTCCTAGAAGGACGACATATACTGTTTAATGCTGTGATTCGTTTACCAAATTATCCATTATCAAATTGCATAGGTGCAATCATATGTGGGTCTTGCGTCAACCTGTCACAGAGGCTAGATGTATGAAATTGTCTACTACTTGCTTGAAACATCGATAATTCCATACTGCCCTACATCAACTATGTCAATGTCTGAAGGTTTTTTTCTGTTGATTGCAGGACATGGATTCAAGCTGGCTCCGGTGGTTGGAAAGTTATTGTGTGAACTTGTCATGGACAAAACACCTTCTTATGATATGTCGCCTTTTAGGATCGACCGATTCAACAAATCGTCAAAGTTATAAACATAAATTTTAGGTGGGATAGTTCAATTAAATAAAGGTTAACTTCTGTCTTATAATTTATTAGTCCCCTACCGGTGGAACCGGGGGGGGGGGGCTATAGTTTTCCTCTCTGTCCGTCTGTGTACATCCGTCTGTGTACGTCCGTACGTAACACCAATGTTTGTCAGCGCTCTAGCGGCTTCATTCATTGAGGAATTGAAATGGAACTTCAAACAAATACAAAGGACCATAATATCGCGGACAAGTTCGAATTGCATGGGTGTTAGGTTAAGGTCAAGGTCGCCGTTACTATTTTTAGAAAACCCTTGTCAGCGCTCTAGCGGCTTCATTCCCTGAGGGGTTTTAATTAAACTTCATACAATTACAAAAGGCCATAATATCTCGGAAAAGTTTGAGTTTCAGGGTTGTTGGGTCAAGGTCAAGGTCACCGTTACTTTTTTACTTATTTTGATCAAACTTCACACAATTACAAAGGACCATAACATCCAAATTAGACACCAAAGGACACCATTTTTATAAATCGTTACAGTGCAATAGCTAGCGGCGTCCGGTAGGGGACATGTATTGCTTTAGCTATACTCAGTATGCTCGTTCCTATTTAACAATATACTTATCTGACAGCCAAAATCGTACTCCCGTGAAACAACGACATGTATTAACTCCACGGATGAATTTTTGTATTTATACTATGTTATATTTTTATATCCAAGGTGAGATACATGTAACTATCTATTTTTATCGGTATGACTAAAGTTTTGCCGAAATGTATATTAATGTTTTTCTTCTTGTGGAAAAGTGGAAAATATATTTGCTATACTTGAAATATTTCTAGGACCCATGAAAACATTGCCATTTCGTTGATCAGATATTTTTAATCTCAAATACCGATCGGATATTTAGTGTTCACCTGTTGTTGCTATTAAAATACATTCTTTGGTACGTGGAACAAGGGTTTATCAAGATTTAACAGTAAATGATTTACCGCCATAGACTTAAATTTGTAAAAACACAGACGCGATATGCAAATGAAAGTGTAATTTGTTTTCGAGAAAGACAATGTCATTTAACCCTTTTCAGTTTTCCTTCCTTGAGTGGCATATGTAATTATCTGATAATACTACTGTTTCTGCTTTGCATATATAATTCTCTAGAAGAAACATTCTACAGGAACAAGACGTTGGCGATCTCTGTATAGCCCCCTTGATATCTTGATTGTCCATTATCTAAATGGCTAATTTTGGGAAATCATTAAATGTTGATTTTAAAATGGGATCCGATAACATTAATGATGGGTTTCTCAATTAATTATTAAAACTATTAGCTGAAATTGTAGACAGGAAGAAAATAAAGCCAAAACGAAACAAATCTATTTTGCTTAATTTCCAACACCACATTATATATTCATTTGAACTTTTGCCTATTGTTACCCCAGGATTTGATTGAGCTGTCGGACAAGAGATACGTTGTACACTTATAGACAGCCATAACATCCAAGTTTAACACGTTGGACAATAGCTGCTAAAACCAGACAAAGTAACCGGTTGAAAACCCCTCATCAATTCGGTGGGGAGTTAAGTACTTCTAGATATCTAATTGTACATTGTAGAATCTAATCGAACAACGGATCCAAGGGAACATTCGTGAATATGTCCAATGTTTAACTAGAATCTTGTTATTACAAAACTTTTAGGGGGAAAACCTACAAACAAACCACATATTAATCGTGTTAACCTATATAGCACTACTGTAAGTGAACGATACTGGTACACTCTCAAACCAACACCTATCTCTTTAAACTCTAACATTCAGTTCAATTTGATCGGCTTTATATTTTGTTGAATGTTGTCAACGGAAAATATTAAACAGAAATAGGCATATTGACCATGTTTGTCTAACTCAATCAAAGCCTATTACAAACAGTGTTGGTGGCTAAAAAGTCTAGTTGTTCAATGTTTTCAAATAACGACACTGAAACAACGGTACAGTTATGATAGGAACGTTCTAATTAACAATCGCACTAGAAGCAATAACAAAACTGTACATATATATTATGAAAAAACTGATTATACAAATAAGTACAACAGTAGTACACACGAATTAGCAATAATTACATGAGCAATACCGTGAAGATAAAACTGTCCATTACAACGATCTGTAGGAACGGTTATATACCAGTTATATTGTTAATAAAAACTGTCAATATTAACATTGAATAAGCCACAAAACAACTAACTTTATACTTTAATAAATATAAATCGACGAGGTTTGAACGCAATTTAACCGGAAATAGGTCGTGTCTTGTATGGGAATCCTTCCAGTTGCTATTGTCGGCAGGGTCTCCCTTACCACTAGAGTAAGCGTTGAACTACGACACAATAAAGTGTTAGCAGACGTCATCGATTAAGTTTTTCTTATATAAGAAACAGATCAATCGGAAACAACTTGTGGATTAGAGTAAGATAGAAAACAAATAACCTTCTATTGTTTACGGCGTACAATAAATTCGCATTACATCTCATAAATCATTGTCGTCCAGGACATAATATTACACTAAACAAACCTCAAACAGTTTTATTCTCCTTTGTGGGTTTTACCTTGTCGATCGATCCATTTACTATCTTGATCATTTTAGCCACATGTGTATTACACACTTAGTCGTGTGAATTGAAAATATTGTCTTCTTCCGAAATGATGCTTTGGATATTTACAGAATGTAAAGAACAATGTCTCTTTGAAGAACCCGTATTGATTTGATGGTTACAGAGAAATGTTTTTTTTTTTCCACCGGAAATTATTAGGTTCTTGATAATCTTTTTCAATGTTTTGCAACGTCCATTTTATAAAGTTCCTGGCGGAGATTTTTTATTTATTCATTTTAAATATGGTTGTATGTTTTTGCTTCTGGCAACCAGCTGTTTTCCACTTTTGAGAGAACTGTTAAAAAAAAAATCAAAGTACTGTAAGCCCTCAAGGAGACGTTAGTCAGAAATTTGGACATGGAAAATAATGAAATGTAAAAGTAGAAATTTGAAATAAATCAATTATAGATGCCAACACGATTATTGATATCATTCAAGAGCAAGTACTTATTTCTAAACTAAGAATTACTAACCATCAAAGTTACCCGCTTATCAAACACTGGAACTTCTGATAATTTTCAACTGGAACTGTCGCCAGGAAGGCTGACTATAACCCCAGCTCCCCCCACCAGTCTGATTCCCACTCTGATCCAAACACATTATTATACATTATTGCGGAATGGAGAAAACAAGTGCGCGACAGCCAACAGATTGTTGCGCGTCGTTTACAACAGAAGATTTAAAGTCCAATCTTCGAACATAATCAAATGATACACATGTTCATATTATACATAATAACATTTCCGATAAAAAAGTGATAATTTATTTGTGCTTGGCTGTTGTGAGGATGTTTCCTTGAAGTTAAAACGGATGTCCTCATCCGTAACTATTATCTCGAAGTTGTCTCCCTTCCAACAGTATTTCTTTTTATAATTTGATGAATGTTCATAAAGATTTTAAAGTTAAAAAAACAGCGTAAACTGAAATGTTAACAACATTACCAGAATATTTGAATTATATGATATTTGTATTTCTTGCATATATTATATGAACGAAGTGATACAAAGTTGTCTACCTAGCATTTTCAGTAACAGAAGTTACCACCAGGGATCGCAAATTCCGTATTTCCGCTAGAAAGAAATTACTGACGTCACGTCCGATAGGTGATCTCAGGACGGCAGGCGTTATTAACGCCTCCGTAAAAAATGGTATAGATTGAATCATACCACATGATTGCTTAAATATTTTAGAGTAAAAGTTTGTGGTCCCGAATATTTTGAAGGGTTTAACTCTCCAACGCCCTTATTTCTTAAGCTGTTAATTATGTCCCCTCAAATGAAATGGGGAACATATTGGTTTTACTCCATTTCTTCTTATTATAATGATTATTATTATTCCGCCGTTAAAGGTTTCCGACACATTAATGAAACTTTACACAAGTGCTCATCATGGTAACGGAATGTGCAAATGACCTTTCAATTTCCGATCGGTAAACAAAGATGGCCGCCACGGCCTCGATTGGTCGTGATTAAATATTGGTCGAGTTTGCTCAAATTTGGTATGTGTGTGTATTTTGGCACTGCGAACATAGTTGCGGGGGTGTTTGGAGGACATCATTTATGGCCCCAATTACAATTAGTACTTTTAAGTATTTAAGTTTTGTCTGGATATTTTAACGTCTTTTAGAACAGAATACTATATTGCTGGTAAACTGTTAATACGCACAGAGAAAACAAATTCACGCAGAATGAAGTCGACAACGTCGATACTTGACTTTAATCCTGCTTGAGGTATCTGTCCCTCTACGTTATCTCACATAGACCAAATATTTTCTGCTGTTTCAACGAGGTTTTCACCAAAGCAAAGCAAGCAAGCTTTTTCCAGAAAATTGATGTAAATCTAATTATCCATCGGAAACTCTTTTCCAGTATGATTAAAGAGAAAACAGTTTAAAGCTTCGTCTATAATACGCTTAACCTTGAAAAACAAGATAATCGAGCAGCCCGAAAAACCAAGAATGCGGTAAGAAATCATAGGGCTAATTTATGAATTATGAATGAAATGTTATTATGAAAATTTAAGTTGGTGTCCAGTAGCGTTATCAACAGTAACAAAATTGGAATGGAGACTTGTTATATCCGTTATTGTTAGAACCGGAATAACATGGAAATATGGCTGTTATTGTATATTCAGTAGGGCATTTGTCTATTGGTATTTGAAGCTTATTATATATTGTTGTGTATGCGAACCAGAGAGTTTGACGTAAGGACAATTGGCAAACGAACAAAGAGAGACAACATATATCTGGCATATACCATTGCGGTGGGTTTTGAGTAACTCTAGTTACCTCGTTTTACATGTAGTGTCTAATTGGTTATACTCCAATGGGTTATTCACGAATTGCCAACGTATAACCATTAATTTCTACAATATTCAAGAAAACGAAATAAGTAAATAAGCATAAGCAAGATATTCTATCGTCTCAAAACCCTGCTAAGGTTATTATTTATTAAACCATATATATTGCTTTTTGAGTGGTTAAGAGTTAATAAGTACAGATTTTCCTCAAATCCTAAATTTAATTCATTCTGGTCTGATTTGTTTTTTTTGTTAAGTTGTCAGCGGCGAAACATCTTGCAAAGAAATAGACATCTTGACTACATATTTGAAATACATTGTACGATCCCCATGGAAACAATGAGAAAGTTACAGGGCAGTGATATCACAAATCCATTCGTACATTGTATGAATAGATTTATGTTTTTCACGTACCAATCAGCAATATGTATAACAATAGTATTCAATGAGGCCATGGTAACGTCTATAGGAACAAATAACTGTAAGACAAAATCTCATAAACTGTTTTTATCAATAATCCGAACCGTCAATATCAATAATAAATAATAATAAAATCTGTTCAGCCAAGGCTAATATCTACCACAGAATTCTAAAATTTATCAACGATTTATAGAAAATGAAATAGAATAATTTGATTTTTTATAACATAATTGTACGTTTGCCTTAAATATCGTTAACATTATAAATGTGATTTTTTGAAACGATTTAAGCAGAAGTAGGTCATATCTTGTTCGGGAGTCTTCCCAGCCGCCATTGTCGCTAGGATCTCTCCAACCACTGGAGCAAGCTTGAAACCATGACCTAAAAGATTGCAACGGAGAATTATCAATGACGTTTGCTCCACATAAATCTGAATTATCCTGTAGATTCGAATAAGATAGACTACTAAACTGATATGCTCTACCTCACACAATAAACCTTACTCATCATATCAAATGTCACATCTCATTTAACTTTACTACATCATCTTGCACAGTAGCAGTGTGCTATTTTGGCGCATACTTTTGTATTTTTCACAACTATCCCTAAATGTATATCCTCTTTTAAGCAGATCAAATTCATTGATACATGTATGACAGTTCAAATATATTTAACATATGCTCATTAGAAGTGCTTGTCATGCACAGTCCTGTACTACTACTACTAATAATAATATACAACATTTGATATAGCGCCCTATCTAGCTAAACTAAGCCTCTCTAAAGCGCTTTACAGTACATAAATATTAACTTTTTACAATCAATACAATTAGCATATACATTAATCAATACAAATTTGAGGAATTCGCAGGAGCTGCCTTATCAGGCGCTAACTACTAGTCATATGCCACCTAGCTAATATCTCCCTATGTGTTGTTTTTTTCACTTTTCACGTTGGTTTTTGTTCGAACAATTGATGTCTTAATATGCGTAAATAGATAACATTACATAATTCAAGTCAAAATACAATCAACATACCGGAAAACCCAGCACCTATGATGATATTGTTATAAAAGGGGTGACGGTCCAGCACGAAGTCTTCGTCCGGGGTATTCTGAAAATGAACATAAGTATTGGATAAACAGAATCCTTCCTTAAAAAAGGTTTCAATAAGTTTTATCACTTTGAAGACCGATGAAATCTCAGATTCTGTGTTTTTATGTATGTTTAAGTGTGTTTACCGTGTATATACACGACTCTGTAATCACAGGATAGGGTTCAAGGCCGGGGATGTGTTCCTTTACGTATTTTTGTAGGGCGTCCTCCACCCAGCGATCGTTAGCTGTATCCCGATAGTCCGGATCCACAGTTGGGCCGTAGTGTAGACATACCTGCCAGATATATACATACTGTATAATAATACGTAAGCTGAACAGCAATTTATACCTAGCTTTACATGTCCTAGACATACCTGGTATACGTATGTTGTAACATGTATATATAGGTAATGATAAACGGACCATCGTTTTGAGTATTGTCTAAATACAGAAAAGACACATAAGATATTATGAGCAGCTTCCTAGCACTTCCATCTTTGTGACTTATCACCAAAGAATGATAAGTCACAAAGAACATAGCGCCAATGCCGACTGTGAAATTTGTCAACTTTCAAGGCAATCTATCATTTATCGAATTACTCATAATAAATTAAAAACACAGATAATATAACAGTAAATCAGATATCCAGTAAGCAATATTGGAGCCGCAGATTGACTATAAGATAATTATTCTATAGTTAGCCTTCTGCTACCAGTCGGTACAAGGAATATGCTTAAACATTAGCATAAGCATACAAATCAGTAAAACCTTAAGATGAGTGACCTCAGACGTAATGATAACAACACAGTTTTCATTCAGTAGTGGCAAAAAGCTTCTACCCACTGGAAGTGGTGTCATGATAAATCAACGAACAGGTAATAGGATGCTGCCATAGTCATATGACACATTCTCATGTTATAATCATCCTAGTCATGTCAGTAAACCATGTTACAGTATAGCATTACTATATCACAGGACAAGTGGGTTACCCATGTATGACATCATTAGTAGGCCTCTGAGTTGATCTGTCCATATCTCACCTTGACCAAATCAGGATACTCGTCACACGGGACGCCGTATACAAGATGTGGACCAATGGCTTTTAGTTGTGAAAATACTGGGAAATGTCGCGAACTGAAAGTGCCTGGTGTTTTCTCTTTCCAGTAGCACACCTTAATTTTCTGTGTCTGAAACCGTAACATCATTAAGTCAGTAAGCAAGATAAAAAAAACCTACATATTTGTTAAGTTTTGGTACATAAAGAATGGAGATTTAAGTTATTTGACAGATAACATCATGGTTGGTGTCATGCAGAGTATGGAAAAATACGATACACACTATAGTTACACTCTACTGCAGATACTACCCTGGAACAGCGTGTGCTTTGTAATTCACACATTATTGATATACGGTCATACACACATACGTACTGTACACGCAGATAAAATGTAAACCGAGCAGTCTTACCTTTTGCCATATACCTGTTAGCTATCAGGTGTATTCCAGTAGTGTTATGATAAATGTCAAATCCTCGATGAATTCTCATCGGCGATAAACTCCATGCAATTCACTACGTACGTGTACATGTGCTAGTACTGTAGCTGATTATACAGTCCAATTATTAACAGTTATACAGTCACTGTTATATTGTGCAGCATGCTTTGAAGAATAAAAAAACCCGTTTAAAACATACCAAACGGAAATTAAATACGTATACGATGTGCATGATTGCACTCGAGCCTTACTGGCGGTTTTCATTCCGTAACATTGACAAACCGATCTGACCATTTTGCACATATGTGAGTGTTTTATCGCACAACAGGTTGATCGATTGTTAAATCCCACAGATCTGCGCACGATGTATATATAAATGTGCGTACGGTAAATGTGATGCGTTGTGCGATCACATAACTGTACGTAGTGAAATCAATGTCTGATAAGGAAGCTACTTATATACTTTGTAAGCTCACTCTCAACTTAATTAATTTAATTTTGTATAGCAATCTCTTGTACATGTACTGCATTATGTAATTGTTTGACATTTAACCTGTGAGTAAAAAGAGCTCTCGGAAATAAAGAAACTGAACTGCACAGATATATATGACATGGCGTACCTGCAGAGGGACATCTAGTCCTAGCTTGGTGAGTACTTTCTTGGCCCACGGTCCCACACACAACACCACAGCCTTTGCCTGGTACAACCTCGCCTCAGTCTTCACCTTGATCACCTCTCCTGGAATTATCTCTGTCATTTTCTCTCCATCATGCAGCAATCCCCCCAACTTCAGGTACTGGTTCTGCATTGCAATAAACAATACTCATTGGGCTTCTTGTTTAACATATATAACTATGGTCCAATTAAACACATAGTAACTGCATGGCTATCCAAACATTATCCCTAATACAAAACTAAGATATCTTTTACATTTCCTGTTTTCAGAACGAACTGGGTTTGTTTCATGACCAAAAACCCTATCTATACATTTTCCTTTTTTTTCCAAAAGACAATCCTGTACAAATTTGGCGAATGTCCCCTAGTGATCAGAATACGAGCCTGCCTCGTTTGCAACGAATTAAAAACGTGTTATCGGAGCCTCTGCTTGTTGCTCATTCGAGCAAATGTCCTAATATCATCCCACAATACTTAGTGCCATTAAGCGAGAAATGGAATTGATGAAGAATTCAGAATAATATTTGAGTAGTCTTGAGCGTCCTCTCCTCAACAGAATTATTTATATCACGACAGTTTTCCCTCTATACACTACAGTACCTGATATCAATTTCCAAACATGGGGCAACTGTTTTACATAGTGAATGTTGGTGTCAAAATCATTTCTGTAAACATTCTATAAGAATGAAATGATTTGTTTTATTCTTTTTTTGTCGCCGTAGAAAAATAAAAAATAAAATAAAAAAAAACATCTCGCCATCTACTAATACCATGCTAAAGTATTCATGGATTCGTTGACCTTCTTAAAAATACACATTTTCATGCATTATGGTAAACACTCCCTCGTTAATGTATATTGACTGGAAAATTATTTAAACAGCATCATGCTTAAAATGCAAAGTAACTGTTAAGCCTTACTTGTACAGCGGTAAGAGCCCTTCCGGCCAGTAAAAGTCCCGCACTGTAATCGACGACAGCGCCACCTACTTCCGAAGGATAGGAGAGCATGGGAAAAGCTTTATTGAACTCTTCGTAATCTAACCTTCGGAAGGGAGTTTTGTTTTTGCGGAGGCAATCGGTTGTCTTATCTAGATATTTCGTCCCCTTTTGACCAATGCATAGCAAGCCAGTCTGTCTAAAATTCAACTTGAATAATTATTTACAATTCATATCACGTCTTGAACTTAACTGAAACTCTTCAGGGCTGTGGCTATTGAAGACATATTTTGGTGTATATAGTAGGAAAATTTAATGACGTTTCACTAGATAAATGCAAATTCTACAAATCACACGAACTATTTTACCACTATTTAACAAAAAGAATATAGTCACTCTTGCTGAGCAGAATAATGAGAGGTCGTTCGTAGTGTGAGACTTGAAGCGTAAACTTATTAGATGCTTGATAAGAACAGACGTAGGCTTGTTGAATGGGTTGATGCTAGGTCGTAATGACAAAGAAGAGGCTTTGTTTAATAAGATGATCACCTGAATAGTGTCTGGCGAGACTGGTCTTCAAGTTCATTCCACATTCGGAACGCCTTGGTCATCATCTGCGTATAATATTCAAGGTCTCCATATGCACTCCGAATCGTTCGAGATTGTCCGTGGGAACTCCCCCGACTGTGGGGCAGTGGGAACTGTAAACAATAGACTCAACAGTGAGTGGTACAATGTAACTGCTGTCATACCTGTATGGACAAATTGATGTTTGATTTCCGAAAATGTAGTTGCCTTTTTATTTTTTGTGCCGATCAAAAATAATACACGAATTCCACTCGGTTGAAATAGATAAAGTGAAATTGATCAAAATACTCCTGTTAGATGAACTACAAGGTTTGCCTTAGAACCAGAGTATTCACATAAATAACACACGGTACCAGAGTTAAAAGAGAAGCTAAACCCTACAAAATAAGTACTTATTCACATATACAATGACATAATTGTCAGTGATGCTCTACAAGTGTTGTTTTTTTACTTAACGCAAAAGTGACTTTTGTAAGCAAACGCGAATCAATCATGCTATTGGAGATCATAAAAGAGACTCATAGGGAAATGACAAACTATATTTATGATAGCAGTGACCTTGACGTTTGAGCTAATACAATAATACATGTATGTGGCAAAATACGATTACAAATTAGGCTTTTGGAGTAATGAGAGCCAATGAATGACTGAAAAGAGCAAAGCAAAATGTCCCTTTCAATAAAAGTGAAATGTGCAGCACATGAAATGACCTGTTCAAGTAGAAGCGTCGACTTGCCCGTCCTTTTGGCGTGGTAGGCGGTGTACGATCCCACTATCCCGGCGCCAACAATTATGACGTCGTACACTAAGTCCTCCGTCATGACGTGAATAGAGTCGTCTTTGTTCCTGCTGTTTAAGAACGCCCCGTTATCGTTCGTTAACTTTGAACTGTACAAGTAAATAGACGAGTGTTTTATACAGATAACGATTGATACATAACAAATAATCCACAGATGTGTGATTACTGGATACGCCAATGGTCTATCTTTCCGTATACGAAATAAACATGTACTAGATAATTTCTTAATGCTAACTTCTTATTATAGCATAGTGGATAAGAAAATGGTTAATGTGGCTACCTTCTTCTTGTCGATATAAAATAAACTCTTCATTGCATCATCCTTTTTCTGCTTAGTAAATTATGATACTTGATGGCGGACTTGTTTGTTTTCTACGTCTACACTGCTTTTTGTACCCTTCGCCGATATTGTCGTCTGCTAAAAACGTTCTATACTTCTAGATATTCATTGTCTTCAAAACGCTTGAGTACCTACCACTAACCTACTCTATTTTACAGGCGTTGAGGAAGCATATTTTATTGCCTTAACATACCGTAACGACTGAATAAAATTTCGGAATTTAAGTTAACCGTATTCGAAGGAATTTGTCGCTTTGTTATGAACGGTTGGGTAATATTCAATAGTAAATAGCCTACCTCACAATTTAGTTGGTATTGTCCCCCGCAACAGCTCTTGAGTGTGTGATTTAACTCATATTTAAACGAGTTTTCCCTGTATATATATCCCAACAAACAGTATGTTAATAATTCAACCGTGATTAAGATGGCAGAATAAACGCAGTCATGTAAAGACATTTTAGATAGGTTAATGTTCATTCTGAATTAATGCAGTAACACGAATACCGATTAAACTAAGGGTTGTGCAGGGAAATTATTTCTTTCTCTTCGACAAAGGATACGGCAAATTAAGGGAAGGCAATATTTTTCGTCAGTGAGCGCTGAAAGAGTTTCATTTGGTATTGAAAAGGGAAATTGAAAAACAATGAAAACGTTATTGTATATAGTACAGAATACTTCCCATTATACAATATTACCACCACGCGGATCACGAATTTGAGCAAAACCTGCGGCAGCTTCAGTACCCTTCGATGACATATGAACGAGTATTATGATCTGATTTCTGACATGTACTTCCTAGTCCTGATATGGTTGAATTATCTTCTTTTTTGTGCGTTGTACAACCTCAGTTGTATTCCTCATTGAGGTATATATAAATCATACTGCATAAATGTTTTTATGTTATATAAAATAAGTGTTTTTGCTTGTTGTCTTCGTTGTATTCTAATCAAGATATAAGGTGCCTTGATACGCATTGTGTTAGTCTAATTTTGCATTTTACATGTATCTATTTATCTAGTTATTTTTGCTACAGCTCCCGAAAATCCCTGTCACCCGTTTACATGCGGAAACTAGCTATTGTAAACTTGGATCAACCACCATGAAGCCTACATTCTCCGGATGATCACTGTTGCCCCAAATTACGATGTATACTTGTCGTAGTTCATTCGGTACTAAAGACCGTACTCTGAATATCATGCTTTCCGTTATATATATAGGCTGCTGACGGACACTTTGATACAAAGTGTTTCGCGAGATGCTAGTTGGTGAACACTTTTGACAAATTCTATGGTCATAATCATGATCTCATTTGAGAATTGTTATATATTTTTGTGTGATATGAAGGTCCATGTTTTGATTGTGTTCTGAAGTGAGCATTATTTCGTCACTAACGCGGCTTTCGCTCTGAGGAAGTGATATTATTAGGATTTGAACTAGATTTACATGGCCAGTATCGTCGACGAAAGAGCAGACGCTTACCCTTCCGAAACACCTTGGTTTTTTCTACAGTTTTGTTGACGCTTTCGTGTTTTGTCGTTTTTCCCCACAACTTAATGTCTCATTTCAAAGGAGCTACTACAATACCTTACGTTAAATATATCCGACAGCCAATTCCCGGCACCAGCTTGTCCTTAGGTAGAAACCAGTCATCATTTTCCCTGTCGTTGCTGTGATGATTGTTTAAATCTTATTAGTTTGGGTGTTTACAATGAGACACGGTATATCAATAACTGTTTTAAATGGCCAATAGTTTTACCAGCTTTGAAATGTGTCATCTGTTCAAGATTTTAGAGCGTTTTGTGATCTTGTTTTAAAAAAAAAAAAATCGACTGTATGTATGCAGCGGGTGTTTTTCATTCGTAAACTCAGTTATTGGTTTGCGTTTTAATGATAATTTATTACTTTATTTTACTCCCTTGTATTTATGAAACTGGATTACCCAAAAAGAACAAGATCAGGATTTTACTGATATGATTCCTTTCCTCAAGTGATGTTCTCAAAATCCGGATGTGTTAAAGGACTAAATACAGTGCCTTCTGAGTAATCAAAATGGGTCCTTGTTGACATGGTTTGCATTGAACGAAATGTACAGATATCTAACTTGTAAAATTTTGGTAGATCTTAATATGTGATGACGGATTAATATGGGGTCAAAAGTCAGGGGAAGTTCCGTCCCACTTCACTGGTTTGGCTTGTAAACTTCCAATTGTCAAAATCAGACGCCAGTAGCACTCTTATATGCCATTAAACCCGCTAACATGCCTTTTGAAGCTTTTCTCTGGTATGTTTCTATGAATCTAGACAGTTGTCACTAGTGTTGAACGTCAAGTATCAGCTATTAGCTCAAAAGCTTAGTAATAACATATAGTAAATGATTTGGTTGTGTGAGTTCTAGAAAAGGCTACTATCACCAATATTGGCAAATTTACAATTTCTACAAAAAGCATGCAAATATTTTTGAGTTTGGAAATAAAACACGTCGAAGTTTTTATACAATTACTGGAGACATTAGGTAATTAAATAAAACAACAGAATACCGAAGAGTCACTGAAGCCATGGGTTACAAATTAATAGCACGGAATAATTTACATGAAGACCTTTGAAACATTACAAGGATAGTAAGACTAGGTGTGCAGAAAGGTAGTGATTTACATGAAGACCTTTGAAACATTACAATGATAGTAAGACTAGGTGTTCAGAAAGGTTTGATTTACATGAAGACCTTTAAAAAATTACAAGGATAGTAAAGACTAGGTGTTCAGAATAGTAGTGATTTACATGAAGACAAATTTAAAACATTACAAGGAAAGTAAGACTAGGTGTTCAGAAAGGTAGTAATTTACATGAAGACCTTTGAAACATTACAAGGATAGTAAGGCTAGGTGTTCAGAAAGGTAGTGATTTTCATGAAGACCTTTGAAACATTACAAGGATAGTAAGGCTAGGTGTTCAGAAAGGTAGTGATTTTCATGAAGACATTTGAAACATTACAAGGAAAGAAAGACTATGTGTTCAGAAAGATAGTGATTTACATGAAGACATTTGAAACATTACAAGGATAGCAAGACTATGTGTTCAGAAAGATAGTGATTTACATGAAGACATTTGAAACATTACAAGGATAGTAAGACTAGGTGTTCAGAAAGGTTTAATTTACATGAAGACCTTTAAAAAATTACAAGGATAGTAAGACTAGGTGTTCAGAATAGAAGTGATTTACATGAAGACAAATTTAAAACATTACAAGGATAGTAAGACTAGGTGTTCAGAATAGTAGTTATTTACATGAAGACAAATTTAAAACATTACAAGGATAGGAAGACTAGGTGTTCAGAATAGTAGTTATTTACATGAAGACAAATTTAAAACATGACAAGGATAGTAAGACTAGGTGTTCAGAATAGAAGTGATTTACATGAAGACAAATTTAAAACATTACAAGGATAATAAGACTAGGTGTTCAGAAAGGTAGTGATTTACATCAAGACATTTGAAACATTACAAGGATTGTAAGACTGGGTGCTCAGAAAGGTAGTGATTTACATGAAGACCTTTGAAACATTACAAGGATAATAAGAATAGGTGTTCAGAAAGGTAGTGATTTACATCAAGACATTTGAAACATTACAAGGATAGCAAGACTATGTGTTCAGAAAGATAGTGATTTACATGAAGACATTTGAAACATTACAAGTATAGTAAGACTAGGTGTTCAGAAAGATAGTGATTTACATGAAGACATTTGAAACATTACAAGTATAGTAAGACTAGGTGTTCAGAAAGGTAGAGATTTACATGAAGACAAATTTAAAACATTACAAGGATAATAAGACTAGGTGTTCAGAAAGGTAGTGATTTACATGAAGACATTTGAAACATTACAAGGATAGTAAGACTAGGTGTTTAGAAAGGGTATGAGAAAGTGATACAGAGTCTGGACTACGTTCTTATTGTTAACAATCAATACACAAAACTAAAAGCTATTCTAACATTTAGTTTGTTGATTCAGTACACTGTCACCTTAACTATTATAGTCACGTTTGATCTTTCTAAATTTTCATTAAGTTGGTAAGCATGGACTATGAAAAAATATTTTTAGAAAATTTCATCTGCTTAAAGTGACAGTGTTCACATACCGTAAAAGTCATCGAAACGTCACATAGAAACTCTTATTGGCTGTGTAAAAAAGGGTTTTTATAATTTACATTTGATCTGTTTAAATAACATACTTTTTTACCACAATCAGTTCCCTTATACATTATAATTAATTTCAGTATGCTTATAACACATTTAAACGCCGACACCGATGTCCTAGGTAAAAATATAGACACAGCTGTTAAGTACAAATGTAATATTCGCTTATCGACATTCATGAAAACTCACGCTTGAATAAATTATTGTCAAATCGATTCGACATCCATACTAATGATTACACGTTTGACGCAAAGACTGGTTAGTTGTTCTGAAACTTGATGAATATTTAATGATGGCGTACAGATAGCCACGGTGATATGAACACGGGTGATAAAGGAGACGCCACCAACATGGAAAGGCAGAGAGGTGAATAAAGAAGATGGCGATCCTTTCTCCTCGATCCTACTTGGAATAAAATGAAATTGTGCGGGGTTTAAACGATATAATCAAAAGTGCCAACAAGAAACCACTCCCATGACCCCACATATTGGGAGCGCATTCATTGGAGTTAGATTGGTGGATAACATATTATGCCAAGCTTATATATATATACTTACAGTAAATCATTGACCTTTACGGGATATTTGATACTACCTATCGAGTGAAACACGACATTGTAAGCTTACAAGCGAGTAGACATACCTTCTCGTCGTATTCTCTCCTTCTTATGATATGACGTTTTATGTTTTCGTCATGGTGTTTGTTCTCCCCTTAAAACTACCACACATTGTTATGTTTATTTCAGGTCGCTTGCTCTATGGTTAAGGTCATCGTCACTTTTACAAAAGCTTTGTCGTATAGCATATATCGACCTAAATCGCAACTAAGGCCCGGACAGGTCACGAATCATGAAACTGTCTTCACTCTTAACTTGTGTTTCATATGTCATCTATATCATCTATATGTTCTATATCATCTGGTCCAAGTAATAAACACAATGTGTCATATACACTAGTTTGCGTTGAACCGAAGATTTAAAATATGAACTACTTATCGTAAATGTTTTGTGTCTGAAATATATATTTGCTTTAAAATACTATTAAAATGTTAATAACCTGGGTGTTTTGAACGAGTTCCTATCTCGGTTAAGGCCAATAACCCTTGTTCGCCTAGTAAAAAGGACTTTCCAATAATTATATCATTATTGATACATTATGTACTGACTTGGTCATGTAATACAAAAACAAACCAAACAATACATTTTATTGTATCGATACTGTAGAACTATGGAAGCAAAACATCACATATAATAGATAAAACATGTAACATTCCGTACATTTCGCTTTAGGGGGGAAGTATGTTGTTAATTTTGAAGGTTGGATTATATATATATATATTGATCTTAGGAATGATACATGCAATAACAATAATGCCCAAGGTGCTCCGAATGAGAAAGGAAAGTTATCATCTCATTTAATAATACCGTCCAATCCGTTCCATCCAATTGACTTGTATCATCTTTGTCAATAAAATTTGTTGAAATGAAAATAATACCGTCTCTATCCGATACATACTTGTCATCACATGCATCCGTCCTCATTATTAGCGGCTTAAGTCATCCTGGTTACTCCTGTTCTGTCCGTAGTGAGTTCCCCGACTGTGGTGTAGTGGGAACTGTAACCCACAATACGTAGCTACAAGTCACTGTTATGTAGGATCTATCCTAAAGGAAAAGAACTTGTAACAATAAAAGTGGAAGTTTACGACGATTTGTTGTAATTACCTGTTTAGATAAAAATGTCAACTGAGCCGTCCTACGGGCGTTGAAGACGGACCTGACTACATCGGCCCTCACCACGTCCAGGACATAAAACCCTCCGCCATGATATGGATCGGGTCGACTCTGTTTACGGTTGGTTTGCAACGGAGTGAGCCAATATAAGTAAATGTCTCACACTACCGTTGTAATAATCTAGTGTGCACAGTGCATTCCGATGGTTACACACGAGTGGTTTTCTGCATGATGTATGCACCAATCGGCGTCTGTATTACCTGTGAGCGAACTAAAATATTTTTGCTTATAAAACTGTGTTTTGCAAGAAAAAGACTTTCTGAATTGATGTAATCACTACTTTCTCCATTTTGGTTTCTACACAATATCAAGTTGACCCGAACCGTTAAGGAATGTTAATAGCACTTGTAGTTGTATTGTGTACATGTACAGTTTTTAAAAAGTGTACATGTACACAAATGTCTTATATTGTAGTTGTTTTGTGTCGGCTGCTATCGGCCATCGTAGGTATCCACTTAAAATATACTGTATACGAACATGTTATAACAAGCCGTCTAAAGATCTAGACCGATAGTGTATAATAGCTATGCCAATTTACGCTTGTATATATTACTCACTAACTCAATGATATGACAATATATTTG